TAAATAAATAAATAAATAAATCCCACAGCAAAAAAAGACAGCCATTCCTTTCCCTTGAGTGCTATAGTCTCTTTGCCTTGAGGTGCTTCATGGCTCCGAACAATCTCAAACAACCAACTAACTTTCGGTGACTGAAGCAACGTGACATTATGGGGGAGGGGGTGGAGATGGAAGCTTCCCAATCTAACATGGAATGCATTCACTAGTTCGATCGCTTTATTGTTCACGATTCCTTTAGTAAGGATTCATTATCGTTGACTGATGTCTACTCTTCACATCACTATACTACAACAGTAACAGTTTGTTTTGAAAACTAAATTCAAAAATTTAGAAAAAAATTGAAAAATTAAATAAAAAAATCGAGTCAAAAAATAAAAGCTGGTTTTCGCTTCCCATTCGATGGAATATCTCTTAAGTAGGTAACGATTGTTGGCTTAGAGTACTTCGTGAGCGATTTCGATGCCGGTAAAAGCAGTTAGTTGCATGGATCAGAAAAAAGAAACGCTCTTTACGAAAGAGGGGAATATACTGCAAAAGAAATACACGCTATAAAGTTAATCGTGGACCATTTTCTCAAGGTGGATGAGCCAGTAGGTCGGATATGTTCGGAACAGAAGTGCAACAAGAATGCGGTTTAGCCAACGAGAAAATCGGGTCCATTCAAAATGAACGTTGTTGCTTCTTATACTCCAAGAATGTACCGCTCAATCGACTAAAGGATTTGTTGGCCTGAGTAGCTTGACCTGAAAATTGAGCCACGATCCGGCTTCTGCAAGTGCAGCTGGGGATACCTCTGTAGTTCATAGATTTCTGTAAGCGCAGGTAACAACAATAGCAAGTGAATCCCAGATTTCTCTGAAAATTGGAATGGTTCTATGAGTTCCAGAGCGATGTTCTCGCTAAAATACCCAGAGTAGAATTTCGGTATTGACTATCTATTACTACTCTGCTCACTTGGAGTAATTTGTAACCAGAGCGCTGATATTAAAGGAATCCTCCACGGAAAAAGCTCCGCCCTCATTACCACAGAAAACGATACCTTAAAGGAATCTTCCACGGAAAGAGTGATCATTTTGTCTTGTGTGTAGGATTAGTATTATCGAAACTAACGCTTATGTTCCGTTCTTTTTGCTATGCTCATGAGGCTAGGGGCCTAAGGGGTATCGTTTTTCTGTGGTAATGGAGGCGGAGCTTTTTCCGCGGAAGATTCCTTTAATAGTACCTGCTATCGCTGCAACACCCCTGCAATGGTGCTCAGAAGTCTCAGGGTGCTCTGGGGTTTCGCCGGTTTACGGCAGCGAGTGCTGGCCCACAAGCAAGAACTATGGAAGGCTGTACCATCCCCTGTGAAATAAGGGAGCTGAGATTAGGCCGTAGTCGGAGGTGAAGGAACACGACACGAGAAGGCCACAGTATCTCCCAGGAATGTATTTGGAATGGAAAGCGGTAAGGAACAGCTCCAAAGACGAGCTGCAAAACGCAGTCGAGAAGAACCTGACCAATGTCAAGGCTACAGTAGAAGACCACTGGAGGAAGTGACCCGCAACAACCAACAGACCCTGTGAAGGAACGGGCTCACTGCTAGGGAGAAGTGGGCAGTATGAATGGCAGAGTAGAACAAAAGAGGGGCCACTTCCTGAAATTATACAGAGAAACGTACTTGCGGAGGTCAAAAGAAATGTTAAAAGTCAATATCGGTAACCTTTAAGTGTTGAAAAGAAGTTTTGATAGGGATATCTACATATTACCAGTCTCGGATATTTGCGAGCAACCAGAAAGTTTAACATGGAATTTATGCTAAAAAGGTCTCTCATATGTAAATCTTTCACGAAATACAAAAATGTCTAAGTCGATCATAACATGCAGCGGAATGATCGAGTGCACGG